GAAATCAACAGAAGAAAAAGCGCATCGCCTCTTCACAGTCAGGCGCCAGAGCCGTTTGATTTGAAGGCTCCCTTTTTGCTGCTATTTCGGTGGCTTTTGAACAGAGGAAACAGTCTAACACATGTTGTCCTTTGATCTTTGGCCAGCCCCCAAAGGGGAAACTTTTTCTTTCTTTCTCTCTCTCTCTCAGGCAAGCTGCCTTTGATAATAAGAGGTCATATTTGTTGTTGTGGGTGTTAAAAGATATTTGTTTCTTTAGGAAAAAAATTGTGATTGTATCCCCACTGTCACTACCTGGAGAGGTTAAAATTTGGGATGGGGAATTGATGTATTTTTAAAAGCAAAATGGTTTGAACACCTGTTACCACCATTGTGCTTCATTATCTCCTGCTTTGACCCCTCACCCAGACCCTAAGCAGATGAGTGAGGTTGTCTAGGCCAGGTTCTAATCCATGAATGCATGAACCACCTGTACGGATGTTGGTGCAAAAGGTGGGGCCAAAGACATTGATAAATCACCTCCCTGCACCTAGGTGGCCCTCTTTTGGTTCACCAAGGTGAGCCATTCCCAAACTGGTGACCACCACTTGTTTGGATGTCAGCTCCTGTTGGCACCATTCCATGTAGACATACTTTCTGAGTCAGATGCACCTGGCTCCTCCTACCCACTAAAGCCTGTTGCTTCTTCAGCATCCAACCATTCCTTCTGTGACCTGTTCTCATTGTCCCACCACCACTCCACAGGCACTGAGCCTTCCTCCTCTGAGGCTTCCCTAATGGGTTCCCCAGCTGGTGCCTTCCACCACCACTCCTCTTCATCCAGCCAGTCCCTGGAAACCAAGCCTTATGAGGAGCAGTTGAAGGAGCTGGGTGTGTTTAGCCTGGAAAAGAGGAGACTGAGATGACATATGATAGCCATCTTCAAATATCTCAAGGGTTGTCACATGGAAGATGGAGAAAGCTTGTTTGCTCCTGCTCTAGAGGGCAGGACTCGAACCCATGGCTTCAAGTTGCAAGAAAGGAGATTCTGACTAAACTCCAGGAAGAACTTTCTGACAGTAAGAGCTGTTTGATAGTGGAACGGACTCCCTCTGGAGGTTGTGGACTCTCCTTCCTTGGAGGTTTCTCAGCAGAGGTTGGATGGCCATCTGCCATGGATGCTTTAGCTGAGATTCCTGCAATGCAGGGGGTTAGGCTTGATGATGCTTGGGGTCCCTTCCAACCCTATGATTCTACAATTCTAGGACCCATGCTGTCTAGAACACATACTTCTTTGGGGTTTGCTTGAGTCACAAGCCCATATCCTAGGGGCTTTGGAGGGATACTACCAACTGACAGGAGTGCCTGGCGTGCTCTGGTCCATGGCGACATGAAGAGTTGGACACAACTAAATGACTAAACAACAACAAATCCAACTGACAGTCTACTTTGTGCTTATATTTTTATCCTACAGCTCCTTCAAAGAGCTCCCAGCGGTTCTACAGCACAGCCTCTCAATTTTATCCTCGGAACACCCCTATGAGGTAGATCAGTCTGATAATGTGTGGCCCAAGGTCACCCAGTGAACTTCGTAGCTAAGAGTAAATTTGAAACCATCTTTTCCTGATCTGTCCAAACCTCTAGCAACTACAACAACCTGGAAAGTGCTCCACACCTGATGAACATTTCCCATTCGAAAAGGACTCTTAGTCCCGGTTTCACCTATTTATATAAAACAAAATATTGGGTTCTATGCAATCCTAGTTGTGCCTGGAGTAGACCCATTGAAACTGATAGATGTGGCTAAATTAGGTCCATTAATTTCAATGGCTGTAGAGTAAAAATAAGTTGGGTATAATCCACCACAACCACTCCTGGAAAAGGCCCTCCAGAAAGAACTCATGGTGGTCACAAATTATACAACTGCCCTTTGTATAATATTCAGAAGGAACTGCAATTCGCAGATTCCTTTTGCCAGCAAGAAGGCAAATATGACATGACAAATGACATATGCAGCTTAATAGGACTGGAGCTATTAAGCATAGCCGGAAATGGAGACTGTAGCTGTGAGCTCGTGGCTTTGAAAGAGTGCTTATCGCTGCCAATCATCTCATCTTCATAAAGATGAGTGTGCTTTAAAGTCGACAGGACCCTGGCTGTCCTTCTGCCTCCCATGGAGGTAGAATACTTAGCAGGGAATGTGAAAAGAAGGCTTGGTTTTTATAATTAATATTATTTATTAAATTATATACCACCCTTATATACCACAGGGCAGTTTCATGCAATCAAAGGCTGCAGAGTCTGAAGGTATCCGCAAGGATAATCTAGTTTGACCGCCCTGAAATGCAGGAATCACAGCTCACAAGAAACAACAAACAATACATAGCACATTACAAGGCTGAAACCACAAACTGTTATATAATGGCAATTATACTAAGGAGGGCACAATGTCATAATCTATGTCATAATCTCATGACATAGGTTATTACCAGTTCATCTCAGGTAAAGTTAGAATGCTCAGAAAAACCTCTTAGTTTAAATTTTCAACCAGTTCTAGCCCTAACCACAACCACGGTGAAGAATGGTAGGGTTATTGCGCCACCAGCCAGTGACAGCCCCAGCCCCCAGGAATCATAAGGAAAGAATAAAGCCTCTGACAACATTATATGGAATTAAAATTAGGCCACAACTTTATTAAACTTCCGAATGTAAGAAGACCTTAGCTTAGGCCTTGGGTGTGTATCCCTCCCAGCCCCCCAGCCGGGGGAACTGGAGCACATCAGGGTAAATGGGATATGGGGGTGCTCTGCAAGACGCAAGTGTAGCAGGTAGCTGAGCCCATATCCCTGCATGCAGGGTAGTTCACTGACAACCTTTCAGTGTATGGCCAGTGACACCCATTTGTTTAGTTGTTTAGTCGTGTCCGACTCTTCGTGACCCCATGGACCAGAGCACGCCAGGCACTCCTGTCTTCCACTGCCTCCCACAGTTTGGTCAAACTCATGCTGGTAGCTTCGAGAACACTGTCCAACCATCTCGTCCTCTGCCATCCACTTCTCCTTGTGCCCTCAATCTTTCCCAACATCAGGGTCTTTTCCAGGGAGTCTTCTCTTCTCAGGAGGTGGCCAAAGTCTTGGAGCCTCAGCTTCAGGATCTGTCCTTCCAGTGAGCACTCAGGGCTGATTTCCTTAATAATGGATAGGTTTGATCTTCTTGCAGTCCATGGGACTCTCAAGAGTCTCCTCCAGCACCATAATTCAAAAGCATCAATTCTTTGGCGATTAGCCTTCTTTATGGTCCAGCTCTCACTTCCGTACATCACTACTGGGAAAACCATAGCTTAAACTATATGGACCTTTGTCGGCAAGGTGATGTCTCTGCCTTTAAAGATGTTGTCTAGGTTTGTCATTGTTTTCTCCCAAGAAGCAGGCGTCTTTTAATTTCATGTGCAGTGATCATGGAACCCAAGAAAGTAAATTCTCTCACTGCCTTCATTTCTTCCCCTTCTATTTGCCAGGAGGTGATGACACCCATTATATAACCCCTTTAAGAGGGGATCCTGGTATTGCCACCACGGGGGGGGGGGGGGCGTGAAGTGGTGACTCCCATTATAGGGAAGAAAAGACTAAAGGATTCCATGCAATGCCATACCCGCCAAAGTTGTGATGAATTGCTATGGGGAAGACAAAACCTGCCAAAGCAGGAAAATTTCTTCCCGTTCCTTCAACAGCAACCAGTCATAGACCGTAGCAGTGCCCGCTAAACAGGAAGAAAACGTTAACCTACAAACAAGAACACATTAAACAAAGGGAGGGTAGGGAAGGTGAATCTCCAGAGCCGACTGCCTGGATACTGTCGGCTCCACCCCCTATTTATAAATGGGGCTGGCCCCACCTCCCAGCAATTAAACTTGACTACTGAGGCTGTTGTCTTTGTCCATGGAGTTTTCTTGGCAGGGATACTGGAGTGGCTTGCCGGTTCCTCCTCCTCTGCGGGAGGCAGTGGAAGACAGGAGTGCCTGGCGTGCTTTGGTCCATGGGATCACGAAGAATCGGACACGACTAAACGACTAAACAACAACAACAACTGAGGCTGGGCGTGAGGCTCCAAAAAATAACAAAAAGTAACACTGAGACGCAAGACAGTCCCTGTTTGCCAGTAAGTTCCCTGGGAACTGTAGCATGGTGCGGTCCCACAAAGGGCACCCACAATGTAAAGTGCGAGTGCTCATTTCACTTGAGATTAAAGTTGGTGTCATCACAGTGAGTTTTTAGAAAGGGTTTTGCAGGAAGAGCAACACAGACACACACAAACCTCAATTTCAAACTTTAGATCTAAAGCAGAATCTAATTCTAACCTGGACTGATACCAAATTGCCCTCATCAGTCTGATGGCAGGCACTCCCATAGAGATGCAAAGTCATTGCAGGGTGTAAAGAATGTATATTTCACAGAACCTGTGGAAAGTAATTCAGGGTAAAGGAAGGAGGTGCTGTGTTAACTGGTTACAGTAATTGCTTCCTTTTAAAAAGCTTGTAAATAAATACCAAGTGCCTCATTTCTCTCCAGGCTGAATAAACCTCCTGATGAGAGGAATTTGTACACTGAAAATAAAACAGAGCTCTAAAATTAACAGCAGCAACAACATCACCCGAAAAGGTCTGATCTCAGTCTGGAAATACTTGGCACAGTATCTAAGGTAAATACAAACATTTAAAAAAACAAAACAAAAATAAAACACCCAACCACCTCTTGGAACTAATGATTGCTACAAAGCACAGTTTGCAGAAACCTAGTTGGCTTAGATTTCCCTCACCAGCTTCACATCAGTCTAGAAATCTTTGGAGAAATCCCAGCGAGGAGCCAAATGAGGATGTTGTCCCTAAAAAAGGGAAGTCATTGAAAAGTGAACAACTCCACCCGCTGCCAAATGCTCTTGGTGGAGACAACTGGGGTATAGAGAGCTCGGTCAGGCTGAAAATAGAACCTGATTTCTTCCGGTCCCTTAAAGGTGTGCTTGCTCAGAGGCATCACATGCAATGTGATTATTTCCTATTTGCATAAACTCCACGTTAACGGGGCAAAAGTGGGAGGGGTGTCTCCGCAGTTCACCTGGTGAAGGCTGAGCTCAACTGGGTGTCCTGATCAGTGCTGGATTTACATATAAGCTAAACAAGCTATAGCTTAGGGCCCCACTCTCTTAGGCCCCCCCCAAAAAAAAAATTAAAGGAAAATAAAACTGGATGTACATTTCCAAAATATAAGATAAAAAACAAATAGAATAAAACCTACATACAGCAACAGTGTTCTGTGTTGTGTTAGGCTCCTATGATGTAAGTCATGGGCCCCGCCTGCTAGCCTGCTCCCTAACATATCACTGGTTTGCTCATTTCTATATATAGGGTGCCTACATTCTGCATGTGCAAATGGCTTTAGATATATATTAGGTCCATAAATTGTTGCTTTTTGTTGGGTCATCTAGTCTAACCCCCTGCAATGCAGGAATCCTGCCTACAGCTATCACCGGATGGGCTTGAAATCACCAACTATCCAGCTAACACACCAGATGCATTGACCCATTGCACCACAGAGGTGCTAAAAGTTAGCAGTACACCACTTTTGAATAGGGAGTTTTCTTGGCAGGGATACTGGAGTGGATTTCCGGTTCCTGCTCCAGGTGGATAACGTTTGGTCAAAAGCTGAGGCTCCAATACTTTGGCCACTTCATGAGAAGAGAAGACTCCCTGGAAAAGACCCTGATGCTGGGAAAGATTGAGGGCACAAGGAGAAGGGACAACAGAGGACGAGATGGTGGGATAGTGTTCTCGAAGCTACCAGCATGAGTTTGACCAAACTGCGGGAGGCAGTGGAAGACAGGAGGGCCTGGCGTGCTCTGGTCCATGGGGTCACGAAGAGTCGGACACGACTAAATGACTAAACAACAACTATTGAATATGGAGGTTTGGTGAGCTGTTGTGGCTCCAGCATTTGGCATGAAGTGTGGGAGATGCAAATCCAGAGTTATGCCAGCATCTGTGGGCGCTTTTTTGGGAAGCCTTTTCTCTCCCCAGGAAAGCTCTGCTCAGATAGAGGGATTCATCCCCCAAAGAGGCTGATTATTCCAATCCCCAGTTTGAGTTGCAAATTGAGAAGGAAGCGGTGAAATGTATTCCATTTTGCACACAAAACACAAAGAAATAAATAAAAAATGCACCTCATAGACCTGGGCAAGGGGTGGGTGAAGTCACATCTTATAAAGCTTTCTGTTCCAAGCACTTCTTCAAAATGATGGCTAAGACCAAGCTGTCTTATCAGAATGCCACAGGAGCCTTGGGATAAATGCTTTGTCTTATTGCTCCTCTGGGGGCCACTGGCCACTGGCTTGGGGCGAGGTGGGGTCTTTGATAAGAAGGCATTATGATAAGTGATGCTATTCTAACTCTTCTTTCTTGGTCCCCTTTATTTTGAGAATAGATCATAAGAGGACAAATACAGAAAACGGGTTGAAAAGTTCAGGATACAATGGCCAGCAAAACTTTCAGATTGCCTAGGTGTTAAATGTATTGTTCCAGGAGAAAATTATTGGTTGTAAAGAGAAAATGCTACGCCGCCACCCCCCGCCACTTCCCCCTAGGCTGCCATGTCTTCTTGTGAAGCTGGGGCATCTGGGTTTTGCTCCCCTGTTTCAATGGAATAATAAGCCGTCAGAAATCCTGTCCCATCAACTAGTTGGGATAGCTACATGCTGGTTGCTGTTGTTGTTTTTCTTTGGAAAATTCGCTCTGCTAGATCAGTTCAACAGATGAGACTTTTCCAAGGAAGGAGATACTATGGGATTGACCTGTTGGGTTTCTGCCTGCCTTACAGTACAAAAGAGCAATCAGAAAAGGGGTGCTCTTTCAAAAATCTGTGCCCTGGGCGACAGCCCCCTGGCCCTCCCCATGCTATGCCCCATCAGCAGATGGAATAGGTTAATTTTGGGTTTATAAGTTGTTGTCTATTACATTTGTATATTGCCCTATAGCTGTAGATCTCAAGGCAGTCCACAACACATTGATGTCTCTAACATTAGAACTTTCCACCAACACAATCTGTTTCCTTCCTTCTCCTATATGCTCAATTATTATCTTAGTGCATTTTTGGTCTTTGTTGGAAGCCTCCCAGAGTGGCTGAGGAAACTCAGCCAGATGGGCAGGGTACAAATAATAAATTATTATTATTATTATTATTATTATTATTATTATTATTATTTCTTTCATGAGGACTAGTAAGTCAAACTTTAATAAAGCTGGAATGAATATGTTCCCTGAAATGGTTCTTTTCAAATTTTGATACTGAATATCGCATCCAAATATCTGCCCACCATATATTTATCAAACCTGTGACATCTGTATTTCACAGTTGATTATATTTCATTTTAACTGGACTGTCGTCATCTGATGGCATTTGGAAGCTGACGTGCAAATCGTTTATTCATTTACGAAAACACCCACATGCTGCAATTTCATTAAACAATATCAAAGCGGTTTACAATTATTTGCGCAATAAAATAAAATAAAATTACAGATCACTAGCTAACTGTTACAAAAAGATTCCCCCCCCCCTTAATTGCTGCATAAGCCTGGAGGCATAACAAAAAGTTTTCAGCAAATGTTTAAAAATTAATACAAAAGACGCCTGCTGAATATCAGAAGAGCATTTCAAAGAAGTGGGCTGATCACATTGAAAACTTGGTAAGCTGAGCCTTATCAAATCAAGGGATAAACAGTGACTTTTCTCCCAATGATTATAGGGTTCATCCAGACTTCCTTTTGAGCTGTGCTTTCCAGGCCCTTTAAAGTTCTGTGTCTGGGTGTGTATATATATTTTTCTCCCAGCACTTTTCCTGGGGAAACCCACATTTTACCACTAAATCAGAGCAAACGGCAACACACAGAAAACCCAATTGCTGTTTGCTTTGTTTTCCTGGGTAAAAACTCTGGGACAAACACACACACACATATACTGAGATGCAGAGTCTTACAGTGCAGACCTGTGCCTAGAAACATGATATAAACACTGGTATATAATGCTTTGGGTGGTCCCTAAGGTACCCTGGACTTAAGATGTTTAGGGTTTGCTTTTTAAAAAATAATAATACAAGGACCATAAGCCTGGCTCGTTAATAGATGAACATCCAGTTTAGACGCTTAACAATCATGTCACCTCCTGCCAGCCATCTTCCCTCTTCAACAGTCTGACTGCTGCATTGTACACCAGCTGGAGTTTCCAGACCAGGCCCAAATAGGCAACATTGCAGTAATCCAGCCTTGAGGTTACCATCATATACAGTGGTCATGCTATCCCTGTCCTGGCATGTGTTAATTGTTTAATTGCACATTGAAATGGAAAGGAACTCTGTAAGTGTACAGTGGTACCTCTGGTTACAAACGCCTCGGGTTATGTTTTTTCGGGTTACGAATGGTTTTAACCCGGAAGTGAGTGTTCTGGGCTCATGGAGGCCTCGCCGCTGGCTGGAGTCAAGCCTGGACATCGGCGGAGCCTGTGGAGGCTCTGCAACTGGGCTCCAGCAGCGGGAGCTCTTGGAGGCCTCTGCGAATCCCGGGAGCCAGGCCCCAACATCCGCAGGATGCCCAGCAGGTCACATCCCAGCCCCGAAGTTAGGTTAGGAACACTTACCTAACGAAGACCAAGAGCAGTGAAGATGTTAAGAAAACAAAGGTGTGCCTGGGCTGAAAATCCCTTTACAAACCCTTGCCCCACCCCCAGCCGTAGCAAGATGGGTGGCACCTAGCCAGGTAAGCCCACCTACCCTTTGGGGGTGGAGTGGAAAATTTTGGGATTCTGCAAGGGATTTTGGGATTTGTTTATGTGTGTCTGCCCTGTGCCTTTGCCTCTGCTTTGCTCCTTCGTTTGGGCGACTTCTGGGTGCTCCAGAAATGGATAAAAGCCCCCCATCCAAACAATCATCAGTGCATCTAAGGGAAAAAAAGTTATTTTTTTCATCTACAATACTGTCTTATTTATTTTATAGTACAGTGGTACCTCGGGTTAAGTACTTAATTCGTTCCGGAGGTCCGTACTTAACCTGAAACTGTTCTTAACCTGAAGCACCACTTTAGCTAATGGGGCCTCCTGCTGCTGCCGCGCCGCTGGAGCACAATTTCTGTTCTTATCCTGAAGCAAAGTTATTAACCTGAAGCACTATTTTTGGGTTAGTGGAGTCTGTAACCTGAAGCGTATGTAACCTGAAGCGTATATAACCCGAGGTACCACTGTACAGTACATTGATCATAATAATTATTGCCTTCATTTTATGGATCAATGGTCTCGTTAGACAGTAAAATTCGTGTTAAATTGCTGTTTTAGGGGGTGTTTTTCATCGTCTGGAATGGATCAATCCACTTTTCCATTACTTTCAATGGGAAAGTGCACTTCAGGTTAAGAACACTTCAGGTTAAGAATGGACTTCTGGAACCAATTAAGTACTTAACCTGAGGTACCACTGTACTGCTAAATTCATAGCATGGAAACTTCCACTGTAGCTAAACAAAGAAGTTGCAGAGAGCCTAACTGGTTGATAATTAACTTGAATGTATCTCTGCTACTCTGTCACAATGACAACTGCTTGGATCCAGGCAATTAGTTGAGTCCCCGATGGGACTTGAGTATGATCAACTTCACCACATTGACTTCCATGGGACCTATATGCAACTAACATAGTCTGGATTCCGGTCCAGAAGTCACACCCTCTTCTTCACTGGTCTTCTTTGCCATCATCAGATCCTTTCGGTGGAGAATTGAACCTTGAAGGAGCCCAATGCTTGCAAAGCACATGCTATGTGTGGATAGCCAAAGTGGTGACGTTCAGATATTGTGGGCACAAGCTCCCATCATCCCGAACCATATATTGTGCTGTTGGGTCCATCTGGAGAACATCTGGAGAACATCAGGTCACCCACCTGTGTACTGTGTCACTGAGCTAAGCGTCCTCCTCAAATGTTCCTGACATTTTGGGCTCTATAACCTGGGCAAGCAATTCAGCAGGAACTCTTCCCATATCTCCCAACAAGGATTGGAAGTCACATTTCACTAGACCCCCAAAATCTATTGGCATTCCTTCCTAGTGCTACACTGATCTATACCACTACCCAGTCCTGAATGGCTTTGACACCTCCAGGTGACACAATTCTCCCCTGTGTTACTCATCCTGTATTACAAATGCATCTTTCCTTTCAACCTAGCAGCAAGTGAATTGTGTTGTGTGTGTGTGTGTGTGTGAGAGAGAGAGAGAGAGAGAGAGAG